TACATACATACATACACACACACACACACACACACACATACATATATTGAATGTAATAACAGAATCTTGCAAGACTGATTGTGCTCTTCCTTCTCTTTCTTACAGTTCAGTGAATTAAGTCCCTTCCAAAACTTATCTCATTGTCTAGACTTTCAGCCTCTTTTGCCTAGGTAATTGTTAAGGTCAAGGTTGTTTTACTAAGACCCTACATCTGTTAGCAGCTGAGATGCCTTTTGGCCTGTCTGCCTAATTGGTAGATCTGAAGCCTGTATTTGACTGCATTGGAGATTGCGATGTGGAAATAAATGGGGAAGTCAGAAATTAAATATTTAAATAATTTTAGGAATGCTTTTTTTTCTTTTTTAGTATTTATAAATAATCTAGGGTAGAACATGCCCCACTGTATATTGAGGGGGGGGGGCTGTGTGGAGAGGGTTTCCTTTTTTAAATTCTTGGGAGTGCTTGCTAGCCAAGGTCTCACCTGGAAAAACAACATGTCCCTAGTGCAAGGTGACCAAACATCCCGCTTTTGGCGGGACAGTCCCAATTTTTAACAATTTGTCCCATTGCATTTTTAAAAAGTCCCGATTTTACACGCAGTTGTGGAGGAGCAGCCTGGTTTGGAGTTATTTATGGAGTCATGTCCCGTGGACCACGGTGGGTCCGCCAGCCAGCCCAATTTGCTCTTCTCCAGAGAGCTGCTCCCGATCGCTCTTCCGCCTCTAGACTATTTGCTAGTTCTGGTCGGAAAAACGTTCCCAAGTACTTTTTTATATGGGCTCCCCCCCCCCCGGCTCTTCCGGGCCCGAATCACTCTCCGATCCCCACGCCCCTCTCATCTGCATATGAAGGTTTCTTCTCTTGCTTTCCGACACGCCCCTTTCTCTGCTTAAACAGCTGCTTTTCACAGAGCTTTTCCAAAAGTTCCTTCTTCCGTCCCCCTCCCCCCCGGTCAATGATGTCCCGCTTTACCAATGTTAAAATCTGGTCACCTTACCCTAGTGATTAGGAAGGCTCAATACAGACTTCATTTCCTTAGAGTCCTGTGGAAAAATAAGGTGGGACAACAGCTGATGACCACTTTCTATAGGTCTACTGTGGTTTGAAGTTGGGGAAATCAGATAGATATGTAGAATGGAGGATGAGACTAGAGGAGCCATATGGTCTGGAAGGGGAAATGCTATAAGGGGGAATTGAAAAGCAATAGTTAGACTTATATATCGCTTCATAGGGCTTTCAGCCCTCTCTAAGCGGTTTACAGAGAGTCAGCATATTGCCCCCAACAATCTGGGTCCTCATTTTANTTAGCATATTTCATTTTTCTGGGTTGGGTGATAACTTCCTACAGGAGGAAAACTCCTGACCCCGCGCTCAGAAAAATGGGTGCTTTGGAAGCCAAATTCTTTTGGACCCCAAATTGAAAAACCCATGAGGGGACTCGATTCGGGGTGGAAATTTCATGCTTAAAAATCGTATTTCTTACTGTTTTTTTAAAAATCAAGCTTTTTGCACCCAGAGGAGGAAAATTCATGACCCCGCGGTAAGAAAAATGGGTGCTTTGGATGCATTTGTAAACTTTCTCACCTGTTGTGTGCGTTTTTGTACTGTTTTGGTTGTGTAAGTTTCCGGCGGATTTTTCCGAGCCGCTGAGATGCCAAAGAGAGAGAGGAGGCTTGCAAAAAGTATCTGCCATTTTCCAAATTCTTAATTTTTTGTCCATTGTATTTTGTTCTTGTTTTTAATATTTTTGTGACTACCCAGAGTTTTATTTATTTATTTTATATGCCACACAACTCATCAATAAGGTGATTTTGGCCAGCTTGCAAAGAATAAACTTTGTAACAGTCAGGCAGCCTATCAATTTAAATCAACATTTAATAACTTTCAATAAATAAATGTAAATGTGCTTCTTAAAATCTTGAGGCTTGCACAAACAAAAGAGCCCAAATAAGCGAGAAAGAGGTGTGGTCGATACGGAGCACAATAAATTAAATATTTTATTCCATAATTTAACAAAAAGAGTTCAAAAAATACCAGAAGCAGAGGGTTGAGGGTTTGGGTTTAAGATCAGTGCTGCTTCCCCCACAAAAGGTTTTTGGGGGAAAGTGTCTGTGTGTACGAGTGTGGGGGTGTTTGAGTGATTCTAAGCATGCATGCACAAGGGAGTGGCCCAGAGGCAGGGAGAATGTGTACGTGCGTGTGAAGGGGTGTGTGTTTGTGTGTGAGAGGGAAGAGATCCGGCCACTTGTGCTTATCCCTGCAGCTGCTACCAGCCCAAATGCAGGAGTCTCTTCTGCTGATCAAAGGAGTCCTGGGGACTGTTCGGAAGAGGGAAACTTGGGGGTGGCCTGCAGCCCCCCCTCCCCCAGTTATTCTCCTTGCACTTAACAAAGTGGGGGGGGGAGCCCATCCTAGTCATAAAACCTGGACAGTTGCAGGTATGAAAATGAAACAACGAACAAGGGTTATTTCAAAGCTTACCATCCCCCAAAACACCAGGAGGGAAACGTTTTGCTTTTCCCAGGACAAAAGGTGAACCGGCTCATTGGGCTCCCTTCCCTTCCCCCCTCCAGGCCCTTCAGCGAAGAAGAAGAAGAAGTCGGGGTTATGAGCCGCTCCCCTACAAAACCTGGCCTCCGGCTTCCGATCCCCTCGGGCACACGGAGAGGGGGGCTTTTTCCCCTCCGTAAAGGAGGTCCGGTGCTTGGGGACAAGCCCCTCCTCACTTGCCCCCGAGGAAGAGCAAGGGCAGGCAGAGGGCCAATGGGAGGGCTGCTGGTGGGAAAGGCCCAGCCCCGCTGCTCAGCCTGCCCCCGCTTTGGTTCTGCCGGGGGGAGGAGGAGCCCTTCCCAGGCCGCTCCCTTCGAGGGGCTCGAGAGTCGGGGGAAGGCTGTGAGCTCCCAGAAGCCCCTGACCTCGGGGAGGCTGGCCGGTCTTCGTGATATCCAGCACCTGAGCCACTAATGGCATCGTCATCTGGAACAGAAAAGCAGGGTGAGAAAGGTCGATTACGGGCACTGGGCAGCTGTTTTCCACACAGCTTTTTCACATTGCCTGCCTGCCTGCCTGCCTGCCTGCCTGCCTGCCTGCCCTCTGAGACAATGAGTGGATGGCAGCCTCAAGAGCAAAGCTCCTCCCTCACGGACTCCCAGAGGCTTCCTGCCCTCTCACTTGCCGTGCTTTCTGGGCAGAGAGGGAGCCCTGCAACGAAACAAACCACAAGGGGCCAGAAAACAAGCTGCTTTGGAAGGGGTCTCCAGGGGCTGGCCTTACCCATTAAAGCCGTAACCCTTCCCTGAGGAGGGGGAGCTTCCTGCTCTGGTCCTCAGAGAGGATGATTCCTATGGCTGCTCCCTGCGTGGTTTGGCAGGATCCCACCAGAAAGCCTTCCCGGGACCTTGCCGTGATCTCAGTAGCCCCCCCCTCTTGCTGCCGCAAGCAAGACTGCTCAGCTCCTGAATTCAGGGGGGCCCATGGGGGCAAGGGACCCTCTGCTTAGGAGCCACCCCTGAGAAGGAGCAGCGTTGGCTTCATTCATGACTTCCGTTCTGCCCGGTGGCGTTTTTTATGCCTACAAGCTCCTGAGAGGCTGGCAATAAGTAAAAGCTGTCATAAAGAAAGATAGCAATAGTAGCAATAGCGGTTAGACTTATATGCCGCTTCATAGGGCTTTCAGCCCTCTCTAAGCGGTTTACAGAGAGTCAGCATATTGCCCCCAACAATCTGGGTCCTCATTTCACCCACCTCGGAAGGATGGAAGGCTGAGTCAACCCTGAGCCTAGTGGGATTTGAACAGCCGAACTGCTGAACTGCAGTCAGCTGAAGTAGCCTGCAGTGCTGCATTTAACCACTGCGCCACCTCAGCTCTATCCACGGCTGCAGGTTGGCAGGACGGTGCCAGTGGAGGGGAAGAAGAAGCTGCAATCTCACCCGTGTCCTGGAAGTCGAGGTCTTGCCCATGGCATGCCCCCAGCAGGCGCGAGGCCACACTGCGCAGAGCCAGGAGACGTCTCCGGGTTAGAAGGTCGGGTTGTGAAATGTCAACCTCCACTTCTGGGTTGTTGATTTGGTTCACCAGTCCATCAGCTGTCACATCTGGGAGATACCTGGATGGTTGATTGCAAGGAGGCAGACCAGTCTTTCAGCGGAGGAAAGCCACGGAGTCTGCTCACACGCACGCACAGAGACCCAAGAGGGCTGGACGGCTGATCCCACATTTACATCCCGCTTCTTTTCTGAACCTCTCTTCCTCCCTTGCGCGTACACGCACGCTCACGCACACACGCAAGCAAGGCAGCCCGACTTTTAAGAAAAGAACAGCCAGATAGGAAGGTGATTTCCCCTTTCCTGCTCTGCTCTCAGCTTAAATACAGGCAGCCCCCCTGGCTCTCAAGGCACAAAGCCCACTTCTGGCCGAGTCAAGCCTCTTTGGGCCCCCTACCTGCCCCGTGTCTGACCATTCCAGCAACTGTCCTCATTTGCCATGTCAGCCGCCATCTTCTCACTGCTGCAGAGAGTGTGGGGCAGGAGGGCCCAGAAGCGCCTCATCAGACGAAGCTTTTCCTTCAAATCCAGCACCTGGGAGGGGAAGGAGGGCGGCAGCCTGGTGAGAGAACTTTCCCCAGGGGGCTGCCCCTCACATCAGCCGTCTTCCCTTCCGGCAGGGCAGTCGGTCCTGTGTGAAGCGCGATGAGTAGACAGGAAGAACTGGGCTGAGGCTTCACTGCCATTTTCCACACACCGCAGTGCCAGGCAGATCTTCTGGCCAGGCCGTAAGGCTAGGCTTCGGGGCAGAAATGGTGTCCAAAGAGCAGGAGCTCCCCTTTGGGCATTGACCTGGCCACTGCTCTGCTTCCCTTGGCACAGCTTTCGTGGCTGCGTCTGAGCGCCCAAGTGTAGCAGGCCAAGAGGACAGGAGGGAGGATCTCAATGTCTCCTTCCTGACCTTTGTTTAAAAATTGGGCGCTTGGGAAAGGGGTCCCCAACAGTTAGGAAAACAGTTAATAAAACATTCAGATTGGAATGAGCCCTTTTTTGTTTCAGAGTTGTGGGGAGGGGCATTCTCAGGAGTTTCCAAGGTTCCCATTTTAAGCCGGAGCTTCCTCTGGAGAAGCTGCGGTCCCCGAGGGCCTGGATGGAGCCCCACAGAAGCAGGCCCCTTGCAACAGGGAGCCCTTCTGGCTAGGGCTAACCAGACCAAAGAGAGAGCCAAGAGGTGACCCAGAGGTGAAAGGGGGCACCAAGCCTGGCCATGCCAGGCATGGCAAAAGCTGATGGGAGTACATGGCATGGCCCATGAGCTCAAAGCAGAGGTGGGTTGTTCCCGGTTCGGGAGAACTGGTAGCAGTACTTGAGCATGGGTTGTCGAACCGGTAGTGATGGCTGACTGGCTGACCAGGCACCCGAACCAGTTTGCTCCGATGTTGGCCCTGTCTCGTCTTCACCACGTGCATCTACACAACTGCCTCCTAGTGCCTACACACAGGTAAGCAGCATGGGCTGCTCAGGGAGCCCCGAGGCTTCGCAACCAGTGCCTCCTAAGTGGGATCGAGCCTCCCCACCTCCTCGATGCATGGAGGAAGGAGGTGGCAGCTTTGTTTGCTGCCTGCAAGCTGGGGCAGCCAAGTGAGCATGCCAGGATCTGCTGGCTGCCTCTAATCTGCAGTTTACTCATGAGCAAGTTTACTCATCAGCAGGGTGCTCGGCAGCCAGAAAATTGCTGGCTTGCTCGCTCGGCTGCTGCACCCCCACACACACACATGGAGCTCACAGGCAGCGAACAAAGCCACACACTCTTCAGACCCTCCAGCTCTCCAGCGTTCAGCTCTGCGCATCTCGGGTTGCTGCTTTCTTTGGGCTTTTAAAAAAAAAGTTTTACATCAAATTTTATTTCCCATCTCCAATCTGTAACATAAATTTGCCAAGCCACATCCACAAAATAAGCCAACAGAACCGATAGTAAAGAAAAATTTGAAACCCACCCCTGGCCCAAAGCCTTCCTTCACCGGACCCTGGAAGAGGCCACAGCAGTCAAAAGATGAGAGGGAAAAGGGGCTGGATGAGCCATGAACCTGTCCAGAAGAGGCATCCAGAAACACCCACAGCAATTCAAGAAAGTAGTTAACGTTCTTCCGCTCCCTTAACCGGAAGGGGCTTGTCTGTCTGCTCCTCAGAGGAGGCAGGTCTTCACCGTTCTGCCTGGGCTGTCTCGTCTGTGGGACCGCTTTGCTTTGCCCTCCAAAAGAGGCATGGAGAAGGGCACAGCCGCTTTTAAACTTAGAAGCCCACCTGTAGTCAGCTCCCGAATTTCCACCTACCAGCCGGTCCAAGTTGGTCCCCCCTGCGGTGGTTGGCTTCTCCTCTGGCGGGTAGACGTGAAAGTGGTGCCTGCTTCCTTCCTGGGGGTCACGTCGGGAACGGGCGGGAGTCGGACGTGGGTTGCCACAGCTCTGGAACACCTGAAGGCAGAGCATGGATGACGACGGGTTTAAGTCCATGCCAATGAATCATAGAAGAAGCTGAGGTTTTGCTTCTAAGGAGGCACAAGGCCTCATGGGAGGAGGAAGGGAGGCTGGAGGAGGCAGCCACAGCAGGCCTTCTGTGAGTCCCCTCTAGATGGAGATCGTGAAAGGCGTCTAACCACAGTTAGCCCAGGGTGGCCAAAAGACACCGAGAGCCCGGAGGTGTCTGTGAGACCAGCTAATGCATTATAAGGCACCAGGCTCTGGTATTTTTAGCTCTCTCAAACAAAATGAAATTTTATGACTATCATTCTCATACTCTGGGGCTTCTTGTCCACCCACAAAGCATCTGAGGAAGCCCTTCCAAGTGTTTACTTAGGACACTGTAGGAAGAATGAATCCCTCTCTCTCTCCCCCCCCCCCCCACCAAGAAGCGAAGTCTTATTCGGGCAAGATGAGGAGAAAAAAACAAATTAAAGGATTGGGAAGTTCGCACACTCTTTCCATCTTTTCTCCAAAATTGTCATTTCTGTCTCTAGCGGAGTCTGCATTTTAGGCTGCCAGCTATATAACAGGCAGAAATTCTGTTGGGAAAAAGAGACAGCCAATGTGGAAAACCTCAGTCCTACCTTAGCCGATGTCTGTATATTGCGTTCCTGCAGGTACATTATGGCCTCTGAAATTTTCACCGCAATGGAATCAGCCGCCAACTCAAAATTGAAGGGTCCAGTGAGTTGTTCTGCCAGTTGGGTCAGTGCATCTTGAAAGAAGGGAAAAAAAGGTCTGTTTTCCCTCGCCATCCACACACCGGGGAAACTTTAAGACTTGTGGACTTCAAGTCCCAGAATTCCCCAGCCAGGGGAATCCTGGGAAGTCCACAAGTCTTAAAGTTCCCAAGTTTGGACACCCCTGCTTTAAGGGGATCCCACGCTGCCCCATGCACCCTTCCATCGAGGTTCTGCTAGGGAGAGATGGTGGCCTCCACGGACTGACTTTTCACGGTCCCAGGGAGGTGCAAGAGGAAAGGCCAACAGCAGTCCCGGAACCCTCCGACCTCCGTTCGGGAAACTCTCTGCCATTGGAAAGGAGCTTCCCTGCTCCCACCTCAAAGTTTGCTCCTCTCTGCCCTGCGTGCTCACCCAGGAAGCGCCCCCACTCGGCGTCCATCTCTGTGATGCTCGCCAGGCAGCCTTTCATGACGTTGAGGCAGAATCCGTGGCAAGGTTTGAGGGCTGGAAGTCCACGGCACAGGGGGCAGAAGGAGAGGCGCATGTGTGCCTGTAGACACTCTCCAGTGGGAGACAGCTGCGTAAGGGTGGAGGAAGGGAGAGTCAGGATCAGGCCTGGAGAGAGGGCCAAAGGAGCTCATCTGGACAGGACGCCCATCTCGTTGTTCTGCAGGCCATCCTGGCCCAGAACCAGGAGAAATGGGCTATCGCCAGAGGGCTGGAGGAGGACAGAGGGTCCGAAAGGCTCCTGTGGAACTGCGGCTGACATGGCCACAAGGGAAGACCATTACAAGTGGCCAGGAAGGGGAGAAATGACAGGGAGGGCTGGGGGAGGGGCTAGGTCATCCTCCAGCTGCAAGGGAGGAGGGGACCCTCACCCAAGGGGTTGGTGGCACTGCTTGCACACAAGGCAGCCCCTGTGGAGAACCTGCGGAGAAGCCTGTCTTCCTTCTCTCCTGAGGCTCCAGGTGCTCTCTAGCATTAGCCCCACCTGCTGCCACCCTGAAAGTGTTGGTTCCTACCTGCGCAAGGACTCACCTTCACCGCCTGAGCAACGACGTCCCGCCCTGTGCCCAGGCCCTGAACAAGGACCCGAGCAGCAAGGAAAGCCCGAGATACCTGGGCGGGAACAGAAAGCGACACCAGGCCTCAGAGGAGCCCTACTCACCCACAAGGGCCCTCAAACACGGGGCCAGAGCAAGGGGGCTTTGGTCTAATGGGGGGAGAGGCTTCGGGGTGCAGTCACAAGGAGCAAACTCTTCAAGGGCGCTTAGACGTTGGTGAACTCTTATTGTCCTTTTTTCTTCAGAAACATGATCTAAAATGTGATCAGTTTTACACACAAGTCCTAAAACTAAAAAGAGAGACAGCGCTCATTCAACAAACTAATTCCCTTTATCTAGTTTGAGGATCTGTGGGAAACTGGGGACACTTTAGGTCGTATTTATGCAGAAGTATTAGCAATTCAAAAGGGTGCAGAAACTTTTAGCCACCACTGCAGCTGCACCCTAACGGCAGCCTACATGAAGGTCTCGTTGCACGCCTGTGTGCCAGGGTGGGCAGGGGCAACATTTCAAGTTTGGGGGAGGGGGTGTCCTTGTTTTTCACGGAGCCCTAGAGGTCCCTACGAAGGCAGGCCTCTCTGTTTCGTTGGCAAGGGACTGTTTGGACCCACCCTGGGGTGGGCATGGCTGTGGCAGAGGCTGGCTCGCCCAAAGAGCAGGAGGCCGCTCACATCTCCCATGGTCATTTCCAATGCAGGCTACTCCAGCGCCTGAAGGAAGGCTTCACGCAGCTTACCTTACGGACTGGGAGATGATGTGACAAGATAGAAGGTGGGGCTGAGGGGGCAGCAGGGCAAAGAGGGGAAGGGCTTCCCTCCTCCTCCTCCCCCTTTTGGCTCTCTCTGACTGAGGCCTTCCTTGCCAGGCCACTGTGAGTGGGACAGTGCCCTTCCCACCCCACCAACGGTTCTGCTCCACGCCAAAGGGCTGTCCTGTCAGGAGCTGGGCTCACCTGCACCCGGAGCTGGTTGGGGCTGTCTCCAAAGGCACGGAGGCTTTCCACCTGGCGCCCCACACACTCCAGGTACCCTTCTGGGAAGCTATACTGGGGGTTAAGCAGAGGCAGCATCCGCTCCAGAAGCTGAGACCAGAAGTCACTTAGGGCCTCGTCTAGGCTGGGCCGAGACCCCTTCAGCTGATGTTGCAACTCCACAAATAGTCCCTGGAAGAGGCGGGCGTGCTGCAAATAAAGGCGCCCGTAGGAACGGGCAAACATGGCCTGCAGGGACCGCTCAGCTCCAGCAAGAAGCTCCTGGAAAAAGTCTGGAAGAAACACCAAGCAGAGCGAAATTAAGCGGAGCCCAAAGAAAGACCCCAACCGGCACCTTCTTCTTCCCCTCCTGCCTGGGAGAGGCTGCCAAACAGGCAATGCCAGCGGTGAAAGCTGCCCACTGAAATTCTGGGGGGGGGGGGTCAGGTGGGAAAGCGACCCGGGTGGCATCATGGCCTGTATGTGAGGAGAAGGGAAGGAAGGGCAACCGTCCTCTACAGAGGCCCCTGAAGGCAGGACAAGAAGGACGGGTGGAAAGAGAGATTCAAGAGAGAACCTCAAGGGGAGGAGGCATCTCCTAACAGTGGGGAGGCTTACCTGGGGAAATTCTGGGTGCTCCATCAGGGGAGGTTTCCCAGGAGAGACTCCCGAAGGGGCCGGGGTCTCCTGCTTGAGCAGGGGGTTCAAGCTCCCTCCCGAGCCCACTATTCTAGGTCCCATTGGTGGGGCGGGGGGTGAGGAGGGGAGAGGGAAAAGGAGAGAGAGCAGCCAGCTGGGCAAAGGGGGCCCGAGAGAGGCTCCTTCCCCTCGCTCACCCTGAAAGCGCTGCTGGCGAGAGCTCAAGGTGCTGAGCAGGAAGGCGCCCGTCTCCCCCAAGAGCGCCCGGAGCTCCGTCTGCCCTTGCTCGCTCAGCCGTTCCTCCGTCTCGCTGGCGCAGCACGTGTAGTCCTGGGGACAGATGCGAAGGTGCTCTCCTGCGGGAATGGAAGGGGAGGCTCCAGGCGGATCGGTTCCCCCTCGGAGGAGGATCCGCCTCTGGGATGAAGCCAAGCGGGGGGGGGGGCGCGCAGGGGAAGCGCCTCGCCCTCCCTCAGTCTCCACCTTGGGCAAAAGTTTTCCCCACCAGCCCTTCCCCCTCCTCTTCCCCGGAGCCTTCAGTGGGGGTGGGGGGGTGATGGGGGGGGGCAAGTGGCCCAAAAGAGGAGAGCGGCGTCCCTCGCAGGACTTTCCTCTCGCCCGGATCCCGTCGGAGCGGAGCAGCGGGAAGGGCGGGGAACGGTCGGGAGGATTCCCCTTCGCCAAAGACCGGCCAGCCTGCCGTTCCTGGAGCGCGACAGGCGGAATCTCCGGGCGCTTCAATCGCCGCTGCTCGGCCACCCCCCACCCGAAGGACAGAAAACTTTGGCCGCGGCGCCTTCCGAGCAGCTCTCCGCCCGAGCGCCCTTACCCGAGATGAGGGTGGGCGGGACCGAGGCGAGAGAGAAGCCGCGGCTCGCCAGCGCCTGCCGGCTTTCCGCGCAGCTCCGCGCCCCGCGAGCTTCTCCGGCAGCGGCGGCACAAAGAAGTCCGCTCAGCGCCCAGAGGAGCGGTAGTGGCGGCCCCATCCCGCCAAGGGCGAGGCGCGAAGGGCGAGGCGGGAGGAGCCCTTCCTTCACGCCCAGCACCGCTCGCGCCCCTCGGCCAGGTCGGTCTCCGAGAAGGACCCAAAGAACGGAGCACTTTCCCCGCGCTGAGCGGAGCGGCTGCCAGACAATAGAAGCCCACCCGCCGTGAGGCTCGCCGGGCCCTAGCGCCTCCCGCCTGCTCTCCTGGCCGGGCGTCAGACAATGGGAGCGGAATGGGGAGCGGCCCCAACGGCCTCTGGGGCGCTGCTCCTGCCCCGCTCCTCGGCTGGCCCCTCCTCCCCGTTGCTCGGCCAGGGGGGCTCTGCAGGACCTGAGAGCAAAGAGGGGCAGGGCGGCTCTTCCCACTAGGCTTGCGATAGATACGCCTTCTGACTGCCACTTCCCATTTGATTCACACCACCAGCCGTTTTTTTTCTTCCTCTTAGTTTGAGAAGGCAGCCTTTTTTCCTGACCACCTCTCTCCCTCCCTCTCTCTTCCTCCCTCCCTCTCCCTCCCTCCCTCCCTCTCTCTCCAAATTCTGTGAGTGGCCTAAGCAAGCCTGTTTCTGTATTTGCAGAAGAAAGAAAGAATGCACTGAAAAGCATGAAGAGAGAATTGGGGAGAGATACCAGAGTGAGGATACTGGGAGAGAGCATTTCTTGGTGGGGGGAAGACTGGATCATAAAAATAGACGTAGACGAGAAAAGGAAAAAAAGTGTAGGAAGTTAGTAACAACCCCCCCCCCCCGCCAGAAGAATGAAATATCCTAGAAATTATTGAAAGGGCAGAATATTATATTTACCTGGATAAGAAATGGAGAAACTTGTTTTTAGGGTTCCAGAAACAGACCCGCTCCTAATAGCCCCCACCTTTCTCAATGGGCTATTAGAGGCCCTGAGCTAGTTTACTCTGCATAACAAAGATAGGATTCGTTTTTCTACAGAAACTCACCACATGGCATCTGGGAACTCAACAAAACTTGGGACTCAAAACACAGCCTAGAGAGTTGCCCTCCCCTCCCCCCCCGCATAGCCCATGGGAGTCTGACCAGAATACATTTCTTACACAGGAACAGGAAACAGAGAGGTGGGGCCGAACAGAGTATTAAAAAAACGAGCAAGCCCCTTCTTCACGCTCTTCTTTACCCAACATCTGGAAGCATCACCTTTTTCCCCAGGACCTCAAGCCATGTGGTCCTGTCCACCATTAAATCATCTTTCCAAGCAACCTCCGTGTTTCCAGTGTCTTTTCCCCACTTGGAGCTGAACCCAGAAGGACATTTCTCCCAACAAAAAAAAAAGTGAAATGTGCAGGAAGAGAAACTCAAGACCAACATTCACTGTGTTAATCTTGCTCAAGAATAAACTGAAAATGGACACAAGAAAAGAGAATGGGGATGCTGCTTGAATCAAGTGAAGTTAACTGTGTTCTAGCACCATAGATGTGTGTAGAATTACATTCATGGAAGGCTTGAAAAGGGATGTTTGAGGGAATAATGGAATAAAATGGGTAAAGGGAAAATGCATATAAGAATGATTGCTGCAGGAAGTGGGAAAAGGGGAAAGTAATCTGTATGATGCATTTAGAAAGAGAAAGTTGCAAAGGATGCAGTCAGAGCAGTGCATGTGTTAAGGTTTCAAGTGGTAGAGAAAATGCAGAACAATTTTGATGGAAAGTAAAAGTTGTTTTAAAAATTAAAGCGATATAATTTGAGGGTAAAGTCAAAGGGTGCGTCATTCCCCAATTCAAAAACTACAGGGGCAGCCATTTGCTAATTGTTTCTGGGAAGATGCTTAATAAGATACAAGATGGGAGGGGGGTTGGGAAGCCACATAAAGGCAGACAGCATGTAAATGTGGTTGTTTTTTTAATTATTGGTCATTCAAGAGTTTAGGACAGTGACAAAGCTCATAGAGAGAGGTATGGTGTATAATAAAGTAAAAAAGACAGTGGTGAAATTCAATTTTTTAAACTACTGGTTCTGTGGGCGTGGCTTGGTGGGCATGGTGTGGCTTGGTGGGCGTGGTGTGGCGTGGTGGGCGTGGCAGGGGAAGGATACTGCAGAATCTCCATTCCTTCCCCACTCTGGAGCCAGCCAGAGGTGGCATTTGCAGTTTCTCTAAACTACTCAAAATTTCCACTATTGGTTCTCCAGAACCT